CTGGGTCTCATTCCCGACCCTAAGATCAAATCCTGGGCTGGTCACTGGGGCTGTGCTCCCTCCCAGCTTCTCCTGTGTGCAGACAGCCAGAGGAGCTGAAAGACCTTGGCAGCCGCGTAAACATCACTTTTATCAGCTTTCTTCTGAGCACAAATTCAAACCACAGCCTCTTGCTAGCTGTTATGAAGACAGTTAACTCTGTCTCAGCTGAACCCAGGACAAAAACCAATTCTTGAAAAAAGAGCTGAAGTCTTCTGACAATAAGCTTGCTTCTCTTAAGTACCTTTTGCAGACCTTCAGTTTGAAGAGACCTCCAGTGGTCCTCAGAGTGTAGAGCACTGGTTTTCAATCTGTTCCTAACCTAAAGAACTGCCTCACATTAAGCTGTGCTCTCAAGGGAGTGGTTTTCTTGCTTCCAGTAGCAGCTGCAGCTAGACCCACCCCAATATCCTGCAAGACTGTGCATTTTTTACTGCTATGTCTGGCGCATATGATCAGAGTCTCATTGATGTATGTTATGATCGTTCACTTACTTTAAAAGATTATTATGGTCTACAATATCAAGGGCACATGCAGGCTTTTTTTATACCATGCTGTGCAGTAGCTATATGGAAATGAATGTTGCAACTTCTGTGTCTCAGAGATCGTTAATTTTACATCTAAATAATTATTCTGTACTGTGGGCTGGAGCTTCACTCTGGGATCTGACAGTAGAACAAAATTTTCTGTGGCTTGTTCACTACTACCTGTAGCAGATGTTAATATTACAATTTTATTGTAAGCTACAGTTCTAATTCAGAGTTCTTTTTATAGCAGAGAACAATCCAGTTTGGTCTTGTAGTTGTATTAGTTTAGAAATTTTAATTAATAACAGAAAGAAATCAGCTTTGACAGTAAAGGAAGCAGGTGGGATCTTGTTACACTGTTCTTTCTGAATCCTAACAACTGTGTTGCCCAATATTACAATGACAAAGTCAGTGTGCATGAAATTTAATTGCTGGACTTGGTAGGTGAGTGACAGCAAAGGAGTTTGTGCGTTGCAAGTAGTAAAAGTGTCGACAGTCTGAGAAATCTGTGGTTAACATATAACTTTTTAAAGCACTTTAGACTTATGTGGCACTTTAATGGGGGGAACTCATGCAGGTCACAGATATTAAACATACCTCTGGGTAAGAATTCTTCCAATGATTTCATAGCAGTCGTGTTTGGAAATCTGTGGGGGAAAGAATACTGCGTTCTGCTGAATCAGCATGTCTGCTTTGAATTGTCAGAGTGGCCTTTCATTGTAGTTCTGGCACAAGTGGAAATTTCTTTCCTGCATGGAGGGTTTTTGCAAGTGAGAACGCAGACGTTGAATGTAAGTGGTGAAGAGTACACACGAGCTGTGTGGATTGCTAAAGCCATAAGAGCAGCACTGTGTATCACAGAGTAGCTTCTTTCTGAGTGATTATTTTAGTCTTGGTTCTGCCGAAACATTTTCCTGCTTATCTTCTTGTTCAAGATTTCTGAACGTGTGCTCAACTAACTGAGTTTAGAAAGCTGAGTAAGCTGCAGGAGGGGTAGCTTTTCCTTCATTCATTGCATTTGTGCCCGAGACAGAGGAATTTGGGTCATGAAGATGTCACATTTCTATCCCACTCAAGAAGTTCATGGATAGAAAAATAACATCTTTTATTTGCTTTGCATTTCTGAAGGTTTTCAAGGGTGTGGATAACGTCATGTCTTAGCAGCTTGTGGACAACTTTTTGGATTATTTGATCAGAACTGGTCCCTGTCACCCCTGTACAACCACAAATGGCAGAGGAACAGGTTTCCCAGGGAATGCTTCACTGCTTTTAGTTGGATACATTCTGTTTTGACTTCTTCAGGGGCTAAACTGCAAGGTTTGAAGTTTTGGGGAGTACTTTTCTATTAATCCTTTCGCTTGTTTTGCTTAACATTTCCTCTTTGTCATCCTTCTCAAGACTTTTGCACGAAGTTTTGTTTCTGGAAATATTTTTCAGTAACTTTGCTCTTGCTGCACAGTGTGGTTTTTTTCCCAGCAGACAGTTGCCAAGCTGTGCAAGCCTTGCTTCTAGCTGTTGTTGCAGGTGTCTTGTTTTTTTCTTGCAAGACAGTTGAATGGACATGGCTAAGAGCAACAGGATTAAACCAGCCCTGTGTGATTAAGCCGTGCTGGGCACCTTCCAGTGCACTCCAGTTAGCCTGGCTCACTGCCGGCTCCCCAGTGCCTTGTCTCTACAGGGAGCAACACCTTGTAGCAGAGATTTAAAGGTGCAGGCAGGTTTTGGGGTTTTCTTTAATGTTCCCATTGAAGAATTAGGTGGCTACCTACTTAGAAAACTCTCAAAAAGACTTATTTACATGCCCATAGATGTTTGAATTTTTAAATATCAAACCATCAGCATCCAGGCTGTTTATACTGTCCTTCATCGAGGGGGTCTGGGAGTTGCGTTCATGTGTGATCCTTGACTTTTGAAATCTGCAAATAAACATAGATGCTGCCTCGCTCCACTACAGTGGATGGTGGAGGGAGGTGAATCTTTTCTGGTTCCCCGAAAGGAGCACCAACTAGGCTGAGTCAGTCAATGACTCGAGGAACAACACAACCCAATTTCATTTAATTACCGCGGCAACTGCAAAAATGTTACGAATGACTGCTCAGAGTCAAGCACCAAATCACACTTATCAGTTATCACCAGACATCACTTATCAGTTAAGCACCAAATAACAATTATCCATTTTTTGGAGGTAAAAATCAGACTGAAAACAGATAGGAAAGAGTTGAAAGGTAAGAAAGAGGTGGGGGGGGGGATGGGGCAGAAAGAGAGAGAGAGTGACAGAGACATCGAGATATCACCACCTCTTCTATTTGAGATTCAGTTTTTGAAGTTACAGACCTTTTTGGTTTTTTTTTTTTTTTTGATGTGTCAAATATTTTTGAGTATTTTGTACAATATTAATGCTAGAATGTTGTGCTTTGCAGATTTACACTTTGGACATAGACAAACCTGAAGATTGTTGGAAGAAATTTGCTTCAAATCGTACTGTAGGAGTTCTGCTCTTCGTAGGGATTATGCTTGGAAATCTGTGGAAACAAAAAGACTCAAAAAATACAGAAGAGCCTTTAGAAAACAGGTAGTTGAAATGACTGTAAATACTGATATTTTAGTCCAGCTAAAATGTAAGTACTGTAAGAAAAAAACCTTTTTAACATAACTGTAGCTGCTTTATACTGTTTATTTATAAAAGCTGGTGAAAACGTTCTTGTTTCTAAAAACATGCAAACGAGATTGTCCTCCAATGTAAGTTGTGATTATCCTTAAGTGACTTCAACCTCCGTGGAAGCTTCAACAAGTCCTGCGTAGTACAAGCAAACTTCTTTCAAGCCCACAAGAGCGTGAGCCCAAGATTTTGTACAAAACAAACGGCTCTTAGTGACAGTCCATGGGAAAATGCAAAGTGATCTCAGGATGTAAATAAAATCTGGCTGTACGTGTTTGCTGTTCTGATTTATTGCATGAATAATTTTCAGTTTCAGTTGGAGCTTGTGGTGTGAAAGAATTGCAATAAATATTTTCATTCTGAAATTTCTGTAAGCAGTCGGGACTCTGTGAGTTTGTGAGGTCCAGAATAAGAAGTCAGCAGAGAAATATTTAAAATTACCTTTTGCTCTTGGTGTGATTGCTGGCAGTGGTTTCTTGTCATGGGAAAAGAACAGGCTTCTGCAAAGTTGCCTGCACAGGGTGAGCTGAGCTCGTTTATCAAGAATCATTTGAACATGGAGTACTGACTTAAAAAAAACCCAAAAACAAAGCAGCCCAGAGCTATTGCCAAGTGTGTGTGACTGGTGGTTGTGACCCTGAGCTGCAAATTCATCATGCAAAGTGATCCTTATTTTTTTATTTTTGAATAGTTTGTTTTGGTTTATGCCTGCTGGTTTTATTTGGAGTTGTACGGGCAGAACTTTTTTATAGGAGGATGCCTATAAACAATAAAAATAGAAACTGCAGGCTAGCAGCTACATCGTTCCAAACCATTTATGTTTTTAACTGGTTTGTGATCTCTCACGTACGTGATTTGCACAGTAGTTAACCTTCTCTTTGACTCACGGCGTTAACAAGTTTTTATGGCACATTCTGGAATTAATTTCTGTGGGAGGAGCAGCAGACACACCTGTTCCAGGAAAACGATCCGGTGGTGTACCTCGGTTTACATACTGGTAGGTGGTGCAAACGCAGTTTTCTCCGCAGGTGGCTTTGTGCACACCTGCGTGCGAGGCTGCGGCTCGGGGATGCAGCGTGGCAGCGTGTTCAGCTGCCAAATCCGTTGTGGTGGTATTCCAACAACCCTCCCTGCTCTGCCTGCTCTGGTCCTCAAGTGGTGGGACACAACCGTGTGTGGGCTGTCACACCAAAAGTCAGGCTGCGAGCTGCTGTGGCTCTGAAGATGAGTGTCAGATTTTAAGGTTATTTAAACCGATATGTCTGAGAGACCTTGCAGTCCGGAGCTGTGCATCCAGGGTTTGCTGACTGCAGTTTCGCTTTGCTGATGGTGGCAAACAGGCAGAGCAGTTCCTGTTTCAGGGAAATGAGACAGTGTATAATAAGTCAGTGTCTTTGGTCACAGAAAATCCTTCTTGGGGCTGGAACAGGCTTCTGTGGGTTCTGTACGCTTCTTGTTTTTAATGTACACCTTGTAATGCTGTTTTTTCTTTTACTGTTTGAACCAGTGATGTCAAATATCTTTTCAGCAGATAGGAAAAGAAAGATTTTTCAGCCTGACTGTAAATAAGATAGAAATACGTGAAAATGTTAGGAAGTGTAACTGCTTTTAGGGCCTTCTTGGTCCTTACACAGAAATTATTCTTAAATAGGGTTTACAGTTTTGGGGCGGAGGAAGTGTTGAGTTGAAGAGAAGCTTAAAATTCAAGAAGAATACGTTTCTGAACAATTATGTGACAAAGTTGCATTTTGTAGAGGGAGAACTGGATGCATCTGACTGCGTGTTGAACTTCGGTTATAAGGCATTTACTAGTTATAAAAAAGTCTTGGGATATAATTAGTGTGGTTCAGTTTCTTAAAACTTGTGATACTACCTTAGAGGGGTGGTAGCAAAAGTTATTAATCCCTTTTTAATATATTTAAGTGTCTTTAAGTAGCTTAAATTTGAGAAGAGCTCACATTTTGTAGTGCCTTTGAACCTACTGGTGTCCTTTGTCTGATGACATCTTGTCACAAGCGTTTATCTTCTCAAGAGAGGAAGAAGAAGGTGTGGCTAAATAGTGTGAAAATTCAAGTTGCAAACCAGTCCTCCTGTCCTCAACTTGAAAATCATTGCATGTTTTCTGTGGGGGTTTCCAAAACCATCTCAAAATGCATTTTTACAAAGATGAGCCAAAGCTGTAATTTAGGTTCATTGCCTGAAAAATGAAAAAGAGTTTAGGTTCTGGGCTGTAATACTGACTGTGATATTTGCTTGAGCATTTGATGATGAATACACAGAAATAAGAAATAACTTTTTAAGTGCAAAAGGGTGAACTACTTCCTGGCTAAAACCCTGTTTGTATCTGCTGGCAGGTGTATCGCAGATCATCTCTTCTTCCATTCCCCAGTTATTCTATTCCAAATCTTCACTAGGATGCTCTCCACTGTGTTTGGATCCAGTCTGTTAAAAAATTCTCCAATATACATATCTTGAAGCAGCAGCTTTACTATCAGCTAGTGTGCTTTTGCACAAATAAGCAGCGTCCTCTGGAAGTTTCTCCTGCAGCATCAAATGTTGCGTTTCTCCTCACTTTCCCAAACATTCCTTCCAGGACACTGAGATAACAGATGCTTTTCAAGGCAACAGGAAGGTCAGATGTGCCTTGCAAAGGCAAACCTAAAACACTGGCAGCTGCTCTGCAAAAGAGAAAACACTGCAACCGACACAAATTCTTGCCTTTGCCATTGTACTTTGCAGAAAAAGATATCAAAGCAACACCAGCTTGTTGTCCAGGAGCAGATGGTGCTAGTTCTTTTGGGCATGCAAGGTAAATTGTGGATTTTTTTGCCATTCCTGTATTTCTTGGTAAATATGGGAACATTAGTGCAAGGGAGTCCCGTTTTTCCTTCCCTCTATTTCAGGAAAGTATGCGCTGCGGGCATTTAGCTCAGGAAATGCAGCGTGCAAACAGCATGGGCTGGAGGACAGGGGACAGCCAGCGTGGATGGAGCAGGAGGTCACCAGGACAGAGCCAGCCACTGGTAGCATAGGGTGGGAAGAGAAAGGGGGCTGGACTCCCAAGTCAGAAAGGTGGAAAGATCAGAGCATCCTGTGGGCTGCAGTCACTAAAAAGGCAGCTGAAAGTGAAGGTAACCCATCATCTGTACCAGCACAGCGTTGTGGTGTGCCAGTATTCAAGAAACAGAACTGAAAGGATGTATTTTGTGGGTGCTTCGCTTTTGGCAAAAGCAGGGAAAGGGTCGTTAGTTTGCTTCTAAATGCGTCACGGTGCAAATACGAGGAGAGAAGATCCGTTTAAGCTTCAAAACAAAGCTAACAAAAAATGCGGATGTTAACCGGCAGTGGGTAATGTGAAGTTTCGATACTAGCTGAAGGCTCCTCATGTACTGGAGAGGTGATTTCCCTCCAGTGCCTCCCTGGAGTTTGTAACGGAGGCAAAAGACCAGAGCAAATTTTAATGTAGGGTGTGCTAGATACAGGACCAGAATTACAAAGGAAATCTCAAAAAACCCTTGTTGGTTTTGCAGCACTTCTCTTTTTTCTGGATGGTGGTGGTAAAAACAAACCAGCACTCCACCCTCGGCCAGGCAGCTGCACACGCATGTTTTTGTCTGAGCTCAGCGGGAGGAGATCTAATACAATTTAAAAAAAACCAAAACAAAACCAACAACAAAAATCAGTGTTCAAATGCCAAAATCAAAGTCTTTAAAAATACAGTTTTATTTTCTGGAACAATGAGCAGAAATTTCTGCCTTAAAGAAAAAAATACCCAACCAACCATAACCCACCCCTGAATATTTACACCAGCAGAACGCAATTTCTGCGAATTGGAAAGGTTCCTGGCTGTGACGGGTGCATTCCATGGATGCTTAAAAGACCTGTGTGCATTTTGCATTGGCTGTCGTGCTGTAGTGTGGCCATCTATTTGCCAAACATCAGATTTTCCAGCTTCATCACAGCTTATTTTCCCCCAAATGCTGTCATGTTATTAACCATTTTTTTCAGAAAATATATAAATGGAAAAAAAGTACTTGAGAGAAAAATGAAGGAACTTTGTTACATCCTCCTCCATGGGTTTTTTGGCAATAACCTGTATTACGCTTTATTTCAGCATTGGTTGGTAGGGACCTTGAATTAATTAATTTTCTTAGTGTTGGCATGATACTTTTTTTTTTCCCCCTCTCTGTTTCCACATGCTTGACAGCAATAATACAGTAAGTGAAAGACTTCACAGGTCACTGGAAAAGGTGTTGCGCTGACTGTAGCTTTCAGACAGACAGACTGGGAGGTCTCCTGTCTTCTTCCTGCTTGGGGAGAAGACCCAGGGCAGACAGCCAAGGCCGTGGAAGTGCATGTTGTCCGTGAAGCTGGTGGGGCCAGGGTTGCTCTCGGGAGGGTAAAGGACAAGCTGAAGGTCTGGTGTTGCAATGCACATCTCCTCTCCCAGGTGACGGGCAATAAAGACCCGGTCGCTCAACCCCAGTGGGGTTCTGGCGCCCATGGGTTCATGCCTCATTGGGTCTGTATCTGGTGAGGGTGCTCTCCACAGCTGCCCTGCCACCAGTGCAGCCCAGGGACTGGTTGTCTGGCTTTTCTTGTATGCTGGGTGGGATGGAGACTGTCTTCTCAGACCTTCCTGGGTCTCTCGGCCCAGGGATGAGCTGCTGTGCCCTCAGGGGTCTTCTGAGATCGTGGGATGTCTTGGTTGCCCAGAGAAGCTGTGGATGCCCCATCCCTGGAGGGGTTCAAGGCCAGGCTGGATGAGGCTTTGGGCAACCTGGGCTAGTGGGAGGTGTCCCTGCCCATGGCAGGGGGTGGCACTGGATGGTCTCTAAGGTCCCTTCCAACCCAAACCCTTCTGGGATTCTATGACGTCTGTCCAAGGAAGCCATCCACTAAGGAGTGGGTGCAAAGCTGCCAACTATTGTATCTGCTGTCGTCAAGAACTTGGTGGCAATGCAGGGGGGAAGAAAAAAGTTGCCTCGAAGAGTTTGAGCTGTTCAGTGCTGTTCTTACTTATGCCAAGGTAAGACAGAAGGTGCTTCAGAAAATGGGAGGTTGAATGCAGAGGGAGCTTCTGTGAGAAGTTGCATGTTGGCTGCTGGGTGGATGAAGTCATGCAGAAGAAACCCTGTCGTGGACAAGAAGCTTTGCGTGCAGTCGGAGGGGAAAAAGGAGACTGCCATCGAACCGCAGATGGGTGAAGCTCTCTTCTGAAGAGGACTTGTGGTTGCGTGCGTGCAGCAGGTACGGAGCCGCACAGCTTCCTCGTCTAGCACGTTGTCTCCCAGTCCAACTCTCTCTGATTGCCTTCTCTCGTGTGTCTTGAAAAGCATCGTTGTTATTAAGTAGTAAAGGCCCTTTTTAATCAACAGTACAGCTTATTCTATCAGTATATTTAAAAAATACTCATCACATGTCAAATTGTGTTGCAAAGTATGTTGAACGTCATTCTGCCAATTCTTCGGTTAGTGTTGGGTTACCTTTGTGATACGTGGTGTGCGGCCGTTGGTCAGCTCCTGCTCAGGTGTTGGTGCACTGCTCCTCGGGTACACCGGGGTGTGATGGTTTTACCCTTGGCTGGGAGCCAACCCCATGCAGCCGCTCACTCACTCCCCCCACCTGGGGATGGGGGAGAGAATTAAAGGGGTAAAGGGAAAAAGAGACTCGTGGGTTGAGATAAGAACAATTTAATAACTACACTACAATAATATTGGGGGAAAAAAATATACAAATGAGTGACACACAGTGACACTGCTTACCACCCCATGACCAAGGCTCAGCCCACTCCCAGCTAACGATCCTGGAGCAGGGAGGGTCCCGAAACCACACTCATGAAATGGAGATAAGAGCCCGAGTGTCCCAGACCAAGGGTTGACTGAGGGAAGGAGACAACCTGGTGAGAGGGACCACTCCGAGAGAGCCGACCTGGAAAGAGCTGACCTGGAGCAAGAAGGGATCTGGAACAAAAAGGGACGAGCTTCCGGAGAGCCCTCACCTCTATCCTGTCCATGCCGTGCATGGGATGGAACAGACCATTGGCCAGTTTGGTCTCAGTCCCAAACCTAAGATCAAATCCCAGGCTGGTCACTGGGGCTGTGCTCCCTCCCAGCTTCTCCTGCCCCTGCAGACACGGGCACAGCAGAGAGGCTGAAGAGACCTTGACTGTCCTGGCAGCAGCTATAACCATTCATGCAGGGATGGTAAGGACTCAGTTAATTTTGCTAGAGCTGCAATACGTGGCTTGTGAGAAGCACTTTTTAAATTTTTACAGCCTAATTTTTCCAGAAGGCCTTCACTAAATCAGAATTGGAAACCCAAACGCATCCCTACGAAGGAGCAGGGAGCACGCTTGCTGTTGATGGAGAAGAGGACTGAAAGCAAAGGTGCCATTGCATCTTGTTGCCTCCTTATCTGGGGCTGAACCTCTCCACATGAAGGCTTTTCCTTGAGGAAAGGAAAAAGCTCAGAGTAAAACACCCTGAGATGCTTTTTGGGTCTGGGATACAAGCAATATGCTTATCCTTCGGGAAAAAAAAATGAGGAAAATATCTATCCCAGTGAATGCACACCATTCCGAGCTGTTCTCCAAACAACAACCATGTGGACACCAAATTAAGGAAATAAGACATGCAACCTTTTTTTTTTTTTTTTTTTTTTTTTTTTTTTTTTTTTTTAAATAGCAATCTGTGATTTAATTCCGGGAAAAGGAGGAAAAAAAAAAAAAAGGGAAGCTCCTGACCTGCCCCTCCAGTTACCTCCCACCCTCAGCCTCATTCACTGCCTGCCAATAAGAGTCACCAAGAGTGAGAAAAATTTCGTTTCAGCTTCCCCAGAGCTTCACTTTGCAGAGCCTCAGCCAGCGAGGAAACCTGCGCTGACAGGGGCTGCGACCAGAAGGTTGGTTTTCTTATAAGATGGAGATAGTAAAAGTTATTTTTGTTTGGGAAATTAGTTAAAAACTATATATTTGGGAAGAGTGGGATAACAGTGCAAAAGTAGAGGGGTTTTTTTTTGTTTGTTTGTTTGTTTGTTTGTTTTTTTCTCCTGCTCAGCACTTAATTTAAAGCAAAACATATGGCATATCCTAGTGGCTTTTAAAAAGCTGCATTGTGGAGATGCGACTTCTCCTTTGCAGCTTTTTCCTGCTACCAGGATCGCACAACTGCACTAAAGGACTGGCTGGTGCTTTGCTCTCTGTTCAAACCGGGCTCTCTCTTATCTCTGTGGATGCTGGAGACCAGATTGCTCTTAGCAGCGCGGCTCGGCTGCGTGTGCTTTTTCTGAGGGTGTGCTGGATGGAGCTGCTGTCCTGCCAGAAGCTTGGATATCGGGGAATTTTCACGTGTTGCTGCCTGGTCTCCCTGTGTATTTTGTGTCCTTCTCCTTGGGGTGTGCTGCTGGGGACAAGAACATCTCAGTGTTGCAATCTCTTCGTTAGTGTTTGCAGCTAAGAGAGGAGAAAATAGGTGAATAATCCTTGTATGCATTGTGCATTTGTAAAAGCATAGAAAGGAGATTTTTCTGAGTGTCGGTGCTGTTGCTGGGGGTCAGCAGAGCACTGGGAGGTGACGCACACTCTCAGCTTCTCTCTGGACACACACCTGATCCTGCCTGTGGCTGTGTTCACGCCGGGCTTTCAGGTCCAGCCAGGACTGGGATTGCTGGAGGAGCACACTTAGCGCCAAAGGGTGGAACAGGAGGATGCCTCCCCCCCCACCCTCCAGCATCCTTGCGCTTCATTTCAGTTTCTATTCCTGCTTCTGAGCTCAGGAGCTGGCAGGGAGGAGCCTGCCCACCCATGCCTGGTTCTTTGCCAAGCTGCTATTTCGAAAAAGAAAAAAAAAAAAATCAACCGATTTATAGCAAAAAGTCTCAACAAATGGGAAAAGACGGTTTATCTTTTTTTTTTTCTTCTCCTTTCTCTTCCTTCTGTTTGTGCATAACTGGAATAACTTGGCCTCAGGGTCAAGCTTGCTTTTAATTGTTATCTGATGTTTTGTGCTGGGAGAATAGGAGCACACAGGATTTTATGCTTTGGTTTTTTTTGGTTTTTTTTTTAGAACTCAGGCTTACTGGTTTTCAACTTTTACTTCCTCATGTAACCACAGGAAGGCAAGGACTGGCGTTCAGGCTTGGGATGTAGCATTGAGTTTCTGCCTCTATGGCTCTCTACGATAAGAAACCAGATAATCTAGTTTCCTACAGTATCTGTCTCGTGCGGAGCCGGGCTTCATTAGAAGGAAGCGTGAGACCACGGCTGCTTCCCATGTGCTTTGTGCCCCTGCCAAAGTGTTCTTCATCAAGCACTAGTGAAACCTTTCTGGGGTGGGGAGCGTCAATGGTCTGATGCTGTTTTGAAGGCTGGATAAAATGGCAGAAAATGCAAAAACTTCGAAAAGACTCAAATGCAGGTTAGATTGAGCAACCTGGGCTAGTGGGAGGTGTCCCTGCCCATGGCAGGGGGTGGCACTGGATGGGCTCTAAGGTCCCTTCCAACCCAAACCATCCTGTGATTCTATAAGATATGGTTGTGTTTCGTCACCTCCAGTGGCAGTACGGGAGCTGGGAGAACAGCCGCCTGCTAAAGAGTGACGCGACCAGCTCCATTGGTCATCTGGAGCTCAGCCCGTCCGTGGTTCTTTTACTAACTGTCCCGTTCCCCTCGGGTCTCTTTCAGAACCAGGAATGGCTGTCCCATCCGTCGTGACG